AAGCCTCTCAGTGAAGTAATGACCAAGTTACAGATTAGATTAAGAAATGTGGGTGGAGTGCGGTGATGCACATTTATAATCCCAGTCCTGAGGAGGCTCAGGTTTATTTTGAGTTTAAGGTCCAATTGGGCTACATAGTGAGATCCTGTAAAGCAATGATGGCACACATCTGTAATGGCAGTACAATACTTGGAAGAATGAGGAAAGAAAATCAGGAGTTCAAGGACATCATAGGCTACATTGGGAGTTGGAGGTGAGCCTGGGCTGTATGAGATTTTAATCTCAAAAGAATAAAATAAAATAAAATAAAATAAAATAAAATAAACAAACCAGAATGGTTTGCATTTCAATGCCCTGAGCCTCTGGCGTACGATCAGGCCCTGCCCTGCCTGGGTCAGTTACATGAGAAGGGGGCTCAGGATCGGTCTTAAAGCTATATTTGGTGCACAAACTGATGACTCAATCACAGTTTCACCAATACGATGCTGATGCTGCAAGTCCGTGTGGCAGAGATTTATTAATCAGCCAACTGTTGGGACAGGACAAATGGGTTAAGTTGTTAGTAACATGAGTTCAGTAGCCTGTGACATACCAGAGTCATTCCCAGCAACAATCCACCATGTAAGCATCTTCAATGAAACCAGAGATGTCAGCTGTCGAAAGACAATGGCCAGAATTTTCTAACCTCTCTCTCAGCTTCCTTTTTTTCTGATCTCTCCCTTCTCTCCTACCTCTTATTCTCCTGATCTGTTTTCTGTTTGATTTTTAACCTTCTCTGTCTCCCTTGCGCTCATCTCTGCTTTGAGCTGCCTTGCCTCCTTGAGGCTTCCATTCCTATTTTTTCCTATTGACTAGTTACTCTGTGGGGGAGTTGGTGGGTAGATGGAGTGTATGCTACGGTGTTCCTGTGGAGGTCAGAGGACAACCTTCAGGAGCTGTGATTCTTCTTTCATCCCGAATCTAGGAGGGAAGGCTGGACTTGGCAGCAAGTACTTTTATCCACTGAGTCAGCTCTCTGCCTCCTTCACTAGTCTTGTTCCTATTTTATGACACAAATAGCAATAGTAGACTGCCCTTCCTGGCTGCTCTCTTTGGTCCTGTTATCGAAATCTGTGCCCCGGATCTTTTACATTGAATTCTGTTCTGTAGCCTCATGTACAAGCAAATCAAATAAAGGAGAACTTGTGTGAGATGATTAAAAAAAAGATAGAAACAGACATTCCCTATTAGTACCGAAATACAGTGATGAGGGACAGTCAAGAAGGGGAGCAGCACCTGCCTTGCAGGAAGAGAGGAGCTGAGAACTAGGAGTGTCTGGCTGTGTATCTTCTGGGCACTGACATCAAGTGGAACTCACCCCAGAAGCGTAGTCACCAGTGATCTGTACCCTCTGGAAGTCAGGCACACTTTCATAGGTCGGGGATGAAGAAATGAGTTCTTCAATGTGGGACAACTTGGTGGAAGATGTTTCACTTTGTGGAATGGACAGATTCACAGTCTTCCGTCCTTGGAAGCGCCTTTTTCTGGATTTGAAATAAAAAAATAAAAAGACTTAGCTTGGTCTTCTTCAGGGGTTTCATTGTAATAGACGGCTGATTCACCATGCAAGTTTATTTGAGGCCTAAAGGCAAACATTTAAGTATGAGTCAAGTAGGAGAAACAGGATATGAGGCTGGCATGGAGGCACTTGCCTTTAATCCTAGCACTCAGAAGGCAGAGGCAGGTGAGTTTGAGGCCAGTCTGGTCTGCATAGCAAGTTCCAGGTTAGCCTGGGCTATACAGTGAGACTCTACTCCCCCCGCCAAACTAACAAACAAATCCCCCAAACAGGATATTCTAAACACAGTGGAAGAAGAAACCATGGAAGACACATAACAGCTTCCTTTAGAACAGTGGACCTTAAGGAACATGCTAGAAGACCTGCAATGTCTTCCCAGACAGTCTGGTCCAAGTAGAATAGGCAGTCTGGGTACTACAATGAACACAGTCCAAAAGCACTTGGTGCCTGTGTCATCCTGTTTATGTTCCTTAGACCCTATGAGTTTCTATCTCCCCAGTATTAAAGCTTAGTACAATTCCATTATGATTTTGATCTGAAATCTCTCCTCCAGGTTAGGTACTAATGTGCTGAAGGCTTGCTTGCCAGTCTGTGGCACTATTGGAAAGGGGTGCAACCTTTAGGAGGTGAGTCTAGTGGGAGGGGTGCTATCAATCAGTGGTGCCATGCTCTTGAAGGGGATATTGGAACCCTGCATCTCTCTCGCTCTCTTCCCTTTCTTCTTCTCTCCTTTCCTTCCTCCAAACCACCACGAAGTGACCTGCTTTGTTCTACAGCACAGTTCCCTTTGTGATGCCCCCCCCCGCAAGCCCCAAGCCTGGGGTAAAGTGACCATGGTGGGGGAGAACTGGGGAGAACTTCTGAAACTGAGTCAAAATAAGCCTTTCCTCCTTAAAGTTTGTCAGTCTCGGGTACTTTTCCCAGTGATGGAAGCTAACACAGCTCCCATATAGGGTTTCTGTGAGACTTAATGTCTGCAAAATGCCTTTCACTGTATTTGAAACCTATGAAGTACTTAATTGACATTCTTTTCTTAAAAACTTTAATGTGTGTGAGTGTTTTGCCTCCATGTATGTCGGTGCACCAGTGCGTGCAATCCCTGAGAAGACCAGAAAAGGACATCAGATCCCTGGAGTTATGGACAGTTTTTAGCCCCCATGTGGGTGTTGGAAACTGAACCCAGGTCCTCTGCAAGAGCAACTAGTGCTCTTAACCCCTGAATCATCTATCTTGCCCCAGATATTATTCTCTTATTTGGACAAATTGAGTTTCTACTTTGAAGAAACACAAGCCCTAGCTGAGATCCTTCAGGGCATGCCCCAAAACGGTGGTTTTGTGTCCTTTCCTTAAAGGCATAGACTCAAGAGAAAGACAACAGGATGAGGCTGGTGGGATGGGGAAGGGCTGAAAGAAAGGAATTCTAGGTGTTAGTTTGAGGATTATGTGGTAAATACAGGGAGTCTAGAAATAAAGGGAAATAATTTTTTTCAAGAGAGATCTCTGAAGGCTCTGGGAAGGGGTAAGCATGCATTTCACAGTATGGATAGGGCTTGAGGGCAGAATCGGGGAAGCACTCCCCCGAGGCCAAGGTGCTGTCAGACTGACTGGAGCAGAATTCACATCAGGCAACAAGATTACAATTGACTAGGGGAGAAATCTGAAGATGAAGGCACTTGAGCTTCAGTTCACATGACTATCTATGTTGAGGGTGCTTACTGCAGCTGTCAGCCCACTTTGGAGGCTCCAGTCCTCATGCCTGAGTGGATTGGAAGGCTTCAACTGGAGGAGATGTAGATGATGGTGGGAGGCCCACAGCTTGCTTTTTTCTTCTCTTTTTCCTTCTTTCTTTCTTTTCTTTTAAAAAATATTTTACTATTTTATGTATATGAATATATTGCCTGCATGTGTGTAAGTACACCAGTGTTGTGCAATGCCCATAGAGGTCAGGGCGTCAGATCCCCTGAAGCTGGAGTTATAGACAGTCATTAGTTCCCATGTGGGTGGTGGGAATTGAACCCAGGTCCTCTGCAAGAGCAGCCAGTACTTTTAACTGCTAAACCATCTCTCTAGCCTCTTTCTTTTTCTTATTTTTTTTTTTTTTGTCATTTTGACACAAGGTCTCCCTGTAGCCCCAGCTGGCCTGGAACTTTTTATGTAGACCAGGCTGGCCTTGATCTCACAGAGATCTACCTGCCTCTGCCTCCTGGGTGCTAGGATTAAAGGCATGTGTTACCACGTTCAGCTGCTTTCTTTTTCTGTCACTGATGTCTTACCCTAACATGTTCTGTGAGGAGGAAGAATTTCCAACCCTAGCAAGGCTCTGGCTTTGAGTGTGACCTTCATTCAGATATACCTTCCTTCAGAATATGCTATTTCTCCCTCCTCACGTGCCAAGATACTGCACATTCACCTTAACCACTTACCTCCTGCCATCTGAGGACATGGACAGACTCTCCATGTGAAATATGTGTGCTTGCATCTCACGAAGGGAAATTGGACAGATCTCATCCACATCAAAGGGGGAAATCTCATGCCGGCCTCCTTCATCTTTGACTTCAGAGGCAAACACTTTTTCAGCAAAGCTACGCATTGCATCATCAATTTCTAAAAGAGGTTTTCACATATTAGCATTCAAACTCTTGTTCAAAAGTCATCCAGGAGATTCTGCTGGGTGTCAGACACAGGCTTAGGACTGTGTTGGCTTCATAGCTTCCCTGACCTCCAACAAGGATCACTGAAACATGGCAGAGCTGGGGCCCTGCTCTCCCATTAGTGGAGTTCCCTGAATATAGCTTGGAAATCTGCCCTCAGAAACACGGGCCAGACTCTCACAGCATATCTCTGGAGGGTCCTAAAGATGAAACGGCTCTTATAGGGCAAGCATTTGTTTCTGGCAGGACTAATCTTGATTTCAAAGTCATCAAACAACATAGTCCTTTGCAATACATTGGTTGGGTCTTTCTGGTGGTTTTAAAGCTGTAGAGGGGTTTGTTGATCTTTGGAACTTTATTCATTTATTCATTTTTATTTCATATGTATGAGTGTATTGCCTGCATGTATGTAAGTACACCAATGCCAGAAAAGGGCACCAGATCCCCTGGAACTGGAGTTATAGACAGTTGTTAGCCACTATGTGGGTGCTGGGAACTGAGCCCAGGTCCTCTGCAAGATCAGTTAGTGCTCTTAACCACTGAGCCATCTCTCTAGCCCCTTGGAACTTTTATTCTGAAGGAGAGTCAGTATTCCCACTGATCACTGGGAAATCAGTACATCTAAGAAATACACATGTCCCTGAGGGCCCTTCTTTCTTGGGACAGTATCTCTCATATATCAAACCTCACTTTTTCCAAATCCTGACAAATGACGGTATGCTGCTATGCAGTGAAGGGGAGCCACCGAAGCTCATCACCATGCGTTGGGAGTCCCATTTCTTGTGAATATGGCCTTTGACAATGAATGATCTTAAGAAAGCCAACCTACTTTTATTAGCCTTGAGTTCCCATTTTTTTCATTTTTGCTTATTTATTGTGTGTGTATGAATGCATACATGTGGCTCACAGAAGTTGGTTCTCTCCTTTCACCATGTAAGTGGGTTCCGGGGATTAAACTCAGCCCAAGTTTTCCCATTCTTAAGTGGGGAAAAGAGGGTGTTCTCTAGCCTGGCAATGAATAACCCCAAGACCTTCAGATCATAAGACCTAGTTTCATCATTTGGAATAGTGTGGCCATTGAGTGTCTGTGTTTCTGTTAAATTCCACTGTCTTCTCCAGATACCAGCTTATACCTACCAGGCATCACCTCCAATACTCCTAGTATTTTAAAGTCTCCAGAAAAGGGCTGGTGAGCAGTAATGAGAATAGCAAATAGTTAGCTTTGGGGAGTAATACTGAAAACAGAAGCTTGCCCTATGAGATGGCAGAGAAAACTGAGACAGAACTTCTGTGCCATCAGCATCTACACAGGCTTCCAGAGGCTGAGATTTTCAATTCTGACTTAGCAGGTGTAATGAGTTTAAGTTTCTGCTCTATGCTTATCAGCTCCCCTGCCTTCCTCTGTTTCAATTTCTTCATGTGTTAAGTGGGTGTACTTATACCAACCCAAAATCAACAGCAAGGCTGCAGTGACATAATGAGTGAGATGTTTATGGAAACACTTCAAGAAAAACAAAGCACCAGATTAAGTGGAATGAGGTCATTTTTAGCGTTGGTTAAGCACACAGTTGGTTAGTTTGAGGCCGTTGAGGAAATGATAAATGATATGTCAGTATGAGATGAAGCATGTGTTCAAAATAACAGCAATGACCTGTCAGGTGAGCTAGTTTAAAATATCAGCTTGTCGCTGGGCATAGTGGTGCACGCCTTTAATCCCAGCACTCGGGAGGCAGAGGAAGAGGCACGTGGATCTCTGTGAGTTCAAGGCCAGCCTGGTCTACATAGTGAGTTCCAGGACAGCTGGGGCTACAGGGAGACCCTGTCTCAAAAAGACCAAAAAAAAAAAAAAAAAAAAAATCAGCTTGTCACAGCAGAGTTAACAGAGAAGACAATGTTGGTTCAACTTCATGCAACTGTTGCCTTGTTAAACTCAAATGCTTCCTGAAACTGAGAAGCATGTTTGGATGCCATTAGTAGTTCTTTGGCAAGCATGGCCATCCACAAAGAAGCAAGTGGAACATGAAGCAGATGTGACAGCTCAGAATGCCTCCCCTACCCATGGCCAAATGATCCCTAGAAATAGCATCATTCCTCCCTGAGCACACAAGCACCTCAAAGATGAGTGGCAGGCAGAAGTTAGAAAAGGCTTCATGTACCATGAAGGGCAAATGGAAGCAGTCCAGTTGGTTATGATGATGAGAATGAGGATGACGATGCAATGGCCTGTCATGCTGTGTCTGTGGCAGTGCTACCGAAGACCTCAGGAAAGACAATATGGAAATGATGCCAGAAACCAAGTCCCATTTACTTGCTATTCCGGCTCAAAATATGAAACAAATGAATCTAAGCAGTCCTACATAATGAACGCTTGTTCTGGAAGCAGGCCAGTTGGTTATGATGAGTTATTGTTCCTTCTAAGGTTGAATCTCTCTAAACCACTATGGACAGTTGAAAAGTAGAAACACTGCTCTCAGGTAGCTTATACAGTGACTAAAAGTTGTATGACTGATACTTGGTTCCACTGAATCAGCCAGCTGTTTTGCCTTCATGCAACCACAGCTGAAATTGAATCCCTAATTTAAGAACTCTGCCTTTCAAAAATACTTTAGGAACAGTGGTGATTATGGAAAAGAAAGTATGAAACTGGTATTTAAGTAGATAAGATTTGGTACAACCTGAATTCAGGGTGCAAAGGAGAAATAATCCCTCAGGTTTATCAGATAATGATTTTTTGGAGCACGTTGTTTGAGAAAATGGGACATCTGAGGGCCAGTGTCTGGAGGATAGGACATCTGTATTTGGACAGAGAATAGACAAGAAAATACTTAAAAATGTTTTTGACTTATTTATTTTTATTTTATGTGTATGTGTATTGCCTGCAAGGATGTAAGTGCACCCGGGTCATGCAATGCTCGAGGAGGACATAAGAGGGCCCTGGAACTGGAGTTACGGATAGTTGTTAGCTGCCATGTGGGTACTAGGATTTGAACACCAGTCCTCTGCAAGAATAGCTAGTGCTCTTAACCATTGAGCCATCTCTCCAGCCCCAAGAAAATACATTTTTTAAAAAATGAAAAAAAGCTGGGCATGGTGGTACACTCCTTTAATCCCAGCACTTGGGAGACAGAGGCAGGTGGATCTCTGTGAGCTCAAGGCCAGCCTGGTCTATATAGTGAGTTCTAGGCCAGCTGGGGCTACAGGGAGACCCTGTCTCAAAAAAATCAAAAAAATTTTTAAAAAGAAAAAAAAATTGGCAAATCAGATTGTGAGATGAGGTGTTCATGACATGTGGGTGGCCTTGGTCAAACCATAGAGTCATTGGGAGCCTCAAGGTTCATCATCATAAAAAGGGAATGTTAATAATAAGTCAACCTCAGAAAGTTGTTATGAAGATTAAGTATGAAATACTTAAAAACCACAGTTTTCCCTAAAATAGAGTACGATTATTAATGTAGGAAGCACAAGGCTCTTGAGAGAAAAGTCCCCATGCTTGCTTCTTCACCCACCAGACCCAGAAAGTCGTGCTTATTTCCCAGCAGAGTTTATTAACATGTGGGAAAACCAGGTTGCAGGCTCGCTCTCTGCCACTTCCCATCTCAGAGAAACTCAGAGGCAGACCTACCTCAGTCAGCAAAAGGACAGTAGGACTTGACATAGAAAAGAGCACACAACTAAGGCTACGGTTTAAATTTTTCATTTATTTTCATTTTTATGTGTATGAGTGTTATGCCTGCATGTATGTAAGTGCACCTGTTTCATGCAGTATCCTTGGAGGACAGAGGAGGGTATTAGAAGTTGTTAGCCATCATGTGGATGCTGGATTTCAACCCAGGTCTTCTGCAAAAGCAGCCAATGCTCTGAACTGTTGAGCTGTGTCTCCAGCCCCATAAGGCTACAGTTTTATCTGAAATCATTTTTTTATTTCATCTGATCACAAAAATTCATAACAAATTTTGTTTTGTAATATAGTAGAGGATTATCAAAGGCAAGGTTTGGTAAACTCCATTGACTAATCTGTATGCTTTACTTCAAATTAGCAAACAAGTGACCAGTGATAGCCTTTATTTGCTTCTATTTTCTTGTTTATCTTTTGAGACAGGATCTTGCTAGTAGCTCAGGCTGGCCTTGAACTCTCGATTCTCCTACCTCAGCCTCCGTAGTGCTAAGATTACAGGCATGCACCACCACACCTGGCTCATGTTTCCTTTGAAATAAATAGTGGGTATTTTGTTTTCAGCTCTTGTGTTTTTGAAATCCAGAAAAGCCATGAGTTTGCTATGCTATGGGATATCTATGGTTATAATTAATCTTTGTTGACTTTTAATGGTATTTAATAAACTCTGCTGAAAAATAACCATGATTCTGAATCAAGGAACAATACCACTTCTTTAACTGATATTTGCAAATGGTAGGAAAATAGTCCAAGATACTCACGTTTTCCTTGAGCTGTAGGAAATAAAATAAAACAAGATACAATATATGAACAACTTGGAGTAATGAACCCAAGCCTTCATTGTGACCATGAACCCATGCTTGGGAATACAGCATGGTGGCTGTCACAAAAAGGGGTGGTGGAAGGCGCTACTCCAGCTTGGTCTTCTAGCCTGTCTGCCTTGTGCTGCCCAAAGAAATCCTGGTCAAGTCAAGTCATCATATACTTCCATTTCTCCTTCCTTAGTAACATATCTAGCCTTGAGGCCACATGAATAAGTTTTAAAAGTGCCCTGTGTGTGTGTGTGTGTGTTACTCCTGTGAATTGAATCCAAGGCCTTGTGTATGCTAAGCTCACACTCCACTACTGAGTCACATACCCAGCCCCAAAAGGTACTTTTTGTAGAATTCAAATTTAAAACAAAACAAAGGAATCTAAAGAAGAGGATGAGGAACTCTTAAACAATGCTGGTAGAGGGTAAACAAAACCAGCCCATTTGATAAACAAGTTAGAAATACCTATCTAAACACCATTTCTGAGACACAGTCCCATGGAAACACACATTAAACACAGATAAAGCCTGAGGCACAAATCTTATTGTCAGATCACATTTATGCTTATAAAAAACTGTAAAAAGTCCAAGAGATTAGTTAAGAAAATTAGAATCTCATACAGCCATTTCAAATGGTGTTTAGAAGAGTTTGCAATACCATGGTAAAATAGTCATATTATAATAGTAAGCTAAAACATTATCCTGCCTAAAGAATGATATGAAGCTAGAGGTATAATACACTACAACGGTGTTTTTATAAGCATCTTTGCTTTTTCATAGGAAACAGACTGAAAAGGAAAGCATTAGCAATAGTAAGGATGGGGATCTTTGGATGATGGGGCTGTGTGGCTTTCTTTATTACTATTTCCTATTTTTTTCTAAGTGTTTATTACTTCAATTTTAAGTGTAATTTTTATTTCACAGGAAATATATAACCGATTTATTTTTTAGTATTCTGTGTATGTATTGGATTGTGAATCATCAGCATACACAGTTTGGGTTAATGTTTCTGTCATGCTTATGATTTTTAGCTACGGGCATTTGTATACATCCTTGGAACTATGAAAACATGAACTTTACTCAGACTAGCAGAATAGATAATGTCTCACAGTTTTCTAAGGGATTCAAAGATGCAGTTTTAGGAAATTACCCTCCTCCCACAACTAAAAATAAACAAAAACTTGAGAATGTCTTGCCTTTTTCTGATGTGTATTTTTGAAGCTCTGTGGATCCTAAATAAAGGATTATTGAAGCTGACAGGATAGTTAAAGGAAGGTTTGCATATGAAAAAAACTGAGTTCTCCAAAGACTTTCTGAACACCTACCTGAAAGTTTGAACAGAGGCATTGTGGCTGGGATCCTTGATTCTAGGATAGCACAGCGGAAGGACAGACAGACTGTGGGGATGGCTCACTGACACTACAAAATGCCCTGACGCTCTTTTTATTATTTTGCTTTGCCCCCTGTAATCTGACTCTTCTCTGCTAAAAGGGAGAGATGAGCTTCAGACCTATTTATAACTTTAGGCAATGACAGTGAAAAACAGGTGAAGCCTTCAGTCTTTATTTTGGGATTTTAGAAGAGATATCTGTAGTAGGCTAGAAATTGGATTTCAACACCCTCTACGTCTTCTGCACGCTGGCTCATCAAGTGTGGCTTCTTTATATGATGTGATCCCTGGTCATTATTTTCCACACCACTGAAATACAGTGCAAGTCTTCCAGGCTTCTGAAAAGTCAAGGTCTTGAGGTTTCCTTCCACTAGAACAGCTTTCTGTGGTTTGTGAATATGCGGTGTATTCATCAAGCTCTCTGAATACACATAGATATACAGACACACAGAGAGACAGACAGACAGACAGACAAACGTTTTTACTAGTTGCATTGTCTGACCTGGAATAGTGGCATATAGTGAACAAGAAAGATAAGGCTCTTGTTTTCTTACAGACGATACCCAACAAAACAGTGTAAAAAGTGGCATGGTACAGTGGCCCATGCCTGTAATCCCAATACTAGGGAGGTGGAAGCAGGAGGATCAGAAATTTGAGGTCATCCTTGGCTACATAGCAAGGTCAAGACAAGTCAGGGTTACATGACACATTGTCTCAAAAGCAAACAACAAACAATTTCTAAGATAATGTTGGGTAAAAATGAGAGCTATGAAGAAAATAAAGCATGGTGACTTCTAACGGTGAAAGATGGTTTTCAGCTAATTCTATAACTGAATACAAGAGCAACACTCTTCTCAAAATTTTTATTAATGTGTAGTCTAAAAACCTCAGACATCTGTGTAGGATCATTAATAACTCTACCCATGAGAGACACTTTCAGAAAATCACTCAGTCTTCATGTCAAAAACAACTTCAGCCTGGCATGGTGGTACACACCTTTAATCCCAGCACTCAGGAGGCAGAAAACAAAAGAAAGAATGTTCATTGTAGATAAATCATTGTAGCCAAAAAGTAGGAAAAATACAGTCTCTACAATAGATTGACTAAAGAGTAGTACAACCACAGAAAAAAATATCACGAGTCATTGTAATGATGATGTGGATGCACAGTAACATAAAAGATATTCATGAAATTTTATGAATGAAAGTCAAACGACAAAGATGTGCATATAGTGAAAATTTGTGTTTGTAAAAGATTAATAATTTATCGGGGCTGGAGAGATGGCTCAGCAGTTAAGAGCACTGACTGCTTTTGCAGAGGACCTGGGTTTGATTCCCAGCACCCACATGGCGGCTACGAACCGTCCTTAACTCCAGTTCCAGGGGAATCCAAAGCCCTCTTCTGACCTCCGTGACATTGCACAACATGGGTGCACTCACATACATGCAGGCAATACACTCATACACATAAAATAAAAATAATAAGTAAAATATTTTTTCAAAAAGATGAATAATTTATAAATGGTGAAGGTAGCCTAGGCCACTTGGAGCGTGTTTTCTTGGAGTAGGGAGGTGATGGTGAGTCTCATTTTTTCTTTTACCTTATTCTCATTTTCTACCAAGAATAAATGTTATTTCTATTATAAGAATAAAAGCAAACAAAAAACAAAGCAAGCAAACACTCTGGCTGAGTGAACATCTGTAATCCCAGCATTTGGCAGAGGTGGAGGCAGATCAGGAATTCAAGGTCAGTCTCAGCTGCATAGTGAATTCCAGGCCAGTCTGGGCTACATTAGCCCCTGCCTCCAAGGGGGGACCTCTGAATTTCAAAAACACAACGTATCCCAGGCTTATTATCATCTGTAGCCTTTAACCCAGAAATTCCTATCAGCAGGACAAGTCTCTGCCTACTCATTCACATTTTCTAATTAAGCCTGCTTTTCTTCAAGCACCAGTATAGAAAAGAACTAGTTCTGTTTAATTCTATTTTTACTTATTTTTTAGAGAAAGAAAAGGTTGTTTTCTGTTTTTTAAAAATAGTTGAGTGGCTGTCAAGATAGCTCAGTGGGTAAAGGTCAAACGTATGACTTGAGTTTTAATTACTTCAAGTTATCCTCTGACCTACACACACACACACACACACACACACACACACACACACACACTCACATACAATCAATGTAATAAAAATAGCTGGAGGATTTGAAGATGGCTCAGAGGATATGATGACTAGAGTTTAAGTGAGAAACCCTGCCTCAATACTCCAGGTGGAGCTGGAGGCAGAAGCAGGCAGATCTCTGTGGGATCAAGGCCAGCCTGGTCTACATAGTGAGTTCCAGGGGCTACAGGGAAACACTATCTCAAAAAACAAAACAAGGATCTCTGTGAGTTCAAGGCCAGCCTGGTCTACATCGTTCCAGGACAGCTGGGGCTACAGGGAGACCCTGTCTCAAAAAGACCAAAAAAACAAAAACAAAAACAAAAACAAAAACAAAACAAACAGAAAAACACCAGGTGAAGAAAATTAAGGAAGACTCCTGATGCCAACCTCAGGTACACACACGCACACACACACACACGCACACACACATACATGAACATAAGCTGATATGAAATATTTCATCTATATTGTGGACCACAAATTGGATAAAGTGATGTGAGACATTCCATATATATTATGGACCACATTGCTTGAGCTAACCTGGGAACCTAACCATTGTTTAGAGCATTATTCTAAATTTCAAATTACAATCCTTCCTTCTTTCTCCCTGCCGCCCACCCCCTTCACTTTTTCCTTGTACTTCGGATCCTCCTGCCTCTGCCTCTGAAGTGCTAGAGGTGATTACAGGTGATCGCCACCACATCCCACAAAAATGGATTTTTTATTTTAAAATATTTTATTATTTTTGAACTTTATTGAGTTTTTGTGCATTTCATATTACATTTTAATCAAATTTAGACCCTCCCTCCCCCAACCTCCCATACCCCCCCACCAGATTTCAGGGATTCTGTCATATATATATATATATTCCTATCCATTTGTATCCAGATGTCCCTGGGTGCAAGTTCATCCACTCACTGAGTCTAGACAGCCTATCTAGAGTCACTTCCTTAAAGAAGATCTAAAATCATCTAGTTATCTACTTCATGGATAATAAGTTTATACAGAAAAGATATGGACATAATGATAAGGCAATGATTAATTATAAAAAATTGGATGCTTCCAATTATCATGGGTCATGGTAACATTTAAAAAATATTTTTATTGAATTTTTGGGTATTTCATACAGAAAATCATTTTTATACTCCCTTCCCCTTTGGCAACCATCCATAGCCCCCCCCCCCCCACAACTGGAGTTCATACATTGTCATTTGTGTTAAGACCTATTATGTAAAGTTAGTGTCCCAGATGTCTTTCAGTGCAAGTTCATTGAATGAGGTCTAGTCAGCCTATCTAGGGTCCCTCCCTTTAAGAAGATCAGTTTTTCCTCACCCAGCAGTATTCAGCTGCCAATAATTCTTCGACTAAGACTGGAGCCTGCTGCTTATTTATTATTTTTATTTTATGTGTGTAAGTATTTTACCTGCATGTGAGTAAGTGCACCTGTGTTGTACAGTGGTGGTGGAAGTCAGAAGAGGGCATCAGATCTCCTGGAACTGGAGTTATGGTTGGTTGTCAGCCACCACATGGGTGCTGGGAACTGAACCTGGGTCCTCTAGAAGAGCAACCAGTGCTTTTAACTGCTATCTCTCCAGTCTCCACAAATGAATTTTTTAAATAGAGGCTTTCCAGGAAGCCAGATGGCCTAGCTGTTAAAGTCACCTGCTGCCAAGCCTGAATTCCATCTCTGAGATTGACATGGTGAAAGGAGAAAAGTTTCCTTTAAATTGTCCTCTGACCTTCACACACTTGTGCCATGCCACATATACATGCACACACAACACATACATACACACACACACACACACACACACACACACACACACACACCTTTATTGCTCAATAATCCTTTGACTTGAGATGCTTGTTTAGCTCCAGCAGAAGCAGGTAACTTTGAAAGTATGAATACACATAGTCTGGGAGTCTGAAAAGTCCACGATCAGGCAGTTTGATAAGGGCTGTGTGCTCCATCATAACATAGCAGTATTACATAAGAGGCCAAACTGGTGGGGTTGCCTCACTTTTAACCTCTCCTCTCAGTTCTGCCAAGACTTAACTTGATCAGTGGGAAGGGTATTAATCCCTGCTGAAGGTGGTGCCCTATGACCTAATTATCTTCTACTAGGCATTACCTCTTAGAGGCTCACCATCTCAATAACACTACATTGGGAACCAACCCTCGAGGGAACAAACCATAGCAATAACCCTGAGCCCCACAGTAGTCATTGGTATGCTGTTGTCTGAGCCAAGCATCACTGTGGGCACTGAAGTGTGTGAGGTGAAGGGCAGTCGTCTCAAAAAGCCAAAAAGCCAAAAAAAAAAAAATAAATAAAAAAAGTCGGGCATGGTGGTACACATCTTTAGTCCCAGCACTCAGGAGGCAGAGAGAGGCAGATCTCTGTGAGTTCGAGGCTGGGCTGTTCTACATGGTGTTTCAGGCTAGCCAGGGCTACATAGTAAGAGCCTGCCCCCCAAACAAAACAAACAAACAAAAAGCCAAATGGAAAGACAATGCAATCAGGCGAGACCTTATTTGTGACATCATGGGTAGTCCCGAGTGTCCCTGGGAAATTCAAGGAAGGGAACTGGGGGCAGCGCCTGAAGAGCAGCAGCCAAACCAGAGGCTAAGCTGGTTGTACTCTGCCTCTGAAATAGTTACCAAACCCAATAAAGAAATTTGCTTTGGAGATTTATCCCCAATAGAATCTAAGGATCAACAAGAAACTGGTGTCTACCTGGCTCGGTGTCATGTGCCCAGAGCAATGCAGAGCCTAGGCCTGAAGCAGGTGTTTAATGAGAGCTGCTGTAGGAAAAGTGTTCAACCAGTATAACCCACGAATCTGTGCCTCCCAGCAGGGCCAAATACCTTCTCTGAGAGGAACCTGGCTTTGCTAATTTCAGTTCATATGCTATGCTAGGGTTTCATTTTGAACTTGAATACTAAATGTCAAACTCCTCAAATTGTTACAGGCAAAACAAGCATATACTTACAAGATCTCCTGACCTAGTCTTCAAAGTATCTTTAAACTTTATATACTACTGGTTTAAGAAAAAAACTTATCTGGCATGTTTGGCCTTAGTTGTAATTGTGTAGAACTAATTTATATATCAAGATGTTTAAAACAATGTGAAAGTTTTTTTCTTTCAGAGTTAGATATCATACATATTCACACATTTAGAGCTCCTACATAAAGCATCAATAATACCAGTTTTATCACACCCACAGCAGCCATTCTGAAAGATTGCTTTTCCTAAACTGGGGAAGACTTTAGGCTCCTGCCTTTAAACACTCTAATTGCAGCCAGGTGTGGTGGCACATGCCTTTAATCCCAGCACTTGGGAGGCAGAGGCAGGCAGATCTCTGTGAGTTCAAGGCCAGCCTGGTCTATATAGTGAGTTCCAGGACAGCTGGGGCTACAGGGAGACCCTGTCTCAAAAAGACCACCAGCTTGGTCCACGGGTGCCCTGGGACTACGAAGATAAGACCAAAAAACAAAACAAAACCCAAAACAAAACAAAAAAAGGTCTAATTGCCACCTGGACTGGTGGCACATGCCTTTAATTGCAGCACTTGAGAGGCAGAGGCAGGCAGATCTCTGAGAGTTCAAGGCCAGCTGGGGCTACAGGGAGACCCTGTCTCAAAAGAAAACAAAAAAATCCTGTAGTTTTCCCAGCATGGTGGTGCACGCCTTTAGTCCCAGAACTTGGGAGGCAGAGGCAGAGGGATCCCTGTGAAAGGGCAGGCTGTTCTACACTGCAAGTTCCAGGCCAGCTGGGACTACAGGAAGACCCTGTTCCAAAAAACCGGAAAACAAAACCAAAAACTAAAACCTAATTGACAACTGCCTTCTTCCACCCATGTCTGTCCCTGTGAGAGGCAAGTAGCTGTCTTTATCTTTAAGAAGAATCACTTTGATCCCCAACACTGCAGGCATTACCTTAGATTTTTTTCCTTTAGATAGTTCCTACAAGTTGATGGTAACTGGAATTTATATTTAAGGAAAGACTCAAATCAGTGATTTCGGCTGAAAATTAACCAGCTTCTGCCCTCCACAAGTATTTAATAGAATTATTTTGGTGTGTCAGATAATTCATGTGATAGAATACAGTCTCCAAGTAAGAATCGTGGATTCATTAGGGTGGCTTGTTCACAAAGCTGAGCTATTTCAGCTCACTTCGGCACTAGAAAGAGCATTTATTAATCTGCATTTGGTAATTCTTACAACTTGCTTTCTTTCAGTAAGGTAAAGGGCCATGTGTCATTGCCCTGTTATTTTGAAAGCACTATAAAGCCTTCTTAGGCAGTTTTGCAAAATGATCACTAGCAAGGCCTCTTGGCTCCTTTTCATGTATTTATGGGTATCAAATAACTCATGCAACTATGTTGGCCTTTTAATGACCTTGAGTATTGCCTGTTATGAGATGTGAAATCCAGATAGCACAGAGATGGTCCCCTCCGAGTCCAGATAAGCCTCTTCAATTGTGTTTTCACTGCCAGTCCAAAACATTCTTCCTCTAAGTACTCCTATTTAGAAAGCAGTACTTTGCCACTTAAATTTGGTTTTCTTGGTCTTTTTTTCTTTTCTGAGGGATGGACTTATGTAGTACAGGCTGTCTTTGAACTGGCTATATAGCAGAGGCTGTCCTTCTGCTTCACCTCTGGAATACTGGGCTTACAGGTATACAGCACCATGGCAGTTTCTCAACCTCAATTCAGCCAAGTATTAAGGACCTCTTTCCTATCTCCCTTTCAAAGAAAAAAGTGATTTTGGTAGAATAAACCAAGTTCTCCATCATCACAGTTTAACATGAAGTGGAAAACCTGGGCTTGACATATTTAAAAAATTTTATTATTTTTTGTTATATGTATGAGTACACTGCCTGAATGTATGTGTCCTAGTTTGTTTCTTCATTGCTGTGACAAAACACTCTGACCACTACCAACTTGGGGAGGAAAGGGTTTATTCAGCTTACATCTCTCAGGTCAGTCACAGCTCATTAGGGAGCCCAAGGTAGGACTCAGGGCAGGAACCTAAAAGGAACTGCAGCACAGGCCATGGGGGAACACTGCTTACTGGCTCGCTCCCCCAGCCCCTGCTCAGCCTGCTTTCTTATGCAACACAGGCCCACCTGCCCAGGGATGGCACCACCCACAGTGGACTGGGCCCTCCCACATCACTTAACAATCAAGAAAGTACCCCACGGACATGGCCACAGGCCAGTCCAATGAAGGTAATTCCCCAACTGAGGCTCCCTCAACCCAGGTGTGTCAAGTTGACACTAAAGCTATCCAGCACTGTATGTAAATGCACCTGTGTCATGCAATGCCCATGGATGTCAGAAGAAGTGGTCAGATACCCTGGAACTGGAATTAGGGACAGTTGTTAGCCACCATGCAGGTGCTGGGAATTGAACCTGGGTCTTCTGCAAAAGCAGCCAGTGCTCTTAACTACTGAACCATCCCCAGACTCCGCCCCCTTTCAAAATGTTTCTATCAAATTTTTGTGTATTTTATACAGAATATCTCATTCAATCTTAATTATCTTTATACCCCCATCCCCACTGGCACCCTCCCATAGCCCCCATCCCCATGGAATTCATACACTGTCATTTGTGTTAAAGCATATTGTGTCGTTAGTGTCCCCAGACATTTCTCAGTGCAAGTTGTATATGAATGTTTTGCCTGCATGTATGTAAGTACAACTGTGTGTGCAATACACATGGAGGTTAGAAGAAGGCTTTGGCTCCCCTGGAACTGGATGGGTGTTAGCTACCATGTGGGTGCTGCGAACCAAATCTGGGTCCTCTGCAAGAGCAGTCAGTGCTCTTAACTGCTGATCCATCTCTCCAGCCCCTTAACATCATTCTTTCCTTTGTGTCTATGAATATAAATATAGGTGCTCATGAAGGCCAGAAGAGAGCACTGGATCTCCTTCAAGAGCAGCAAGTGCTCTTAACCATTGAACCATTATTCTAGTCCCAACATCATTCTATTTTATTTCCTTAAGGCTGAGAAACCTGTTATAATAAACTTCCCTGCTTTGCAAATGAAGAAACTGGGCCACAGTAAAATTATAGTTAGAACCCATTTTCTCTGGCTCTTCCAATCACCAAGATTGCTTGATAAAGCAATAATTAAAAACAAAACAAACAAAAAACCCAAACCAAAAAAACAAACCCAAAACTCTCCCAAAACACAATTCTCCACGCAGGATATATCCTGAGACTCCCACTGGATACATGAAACTGCAGGTAGCATTGTGTAAGCACTGTATTTTCCCCTGTATGTACTGTTTCTTCCTATACATACACACATATGATAGTTTCATTTATAGGTTGGGATAGTGATGCTGTCATAGATGTGATAACAGAACAGATCCTAATGAAGGTGGACATGCCAATCGCAGGGAAGGCACCTGTCCTAGCAGGACACAGCATGGGAAACTTCATCATGTTCCTGGTGAAGGAGTGCACCATGTCATGCAATGCCCTTGGAGGTCAGAAGAGGGTGTTGGATCCCCTAAAACTGGAGTAACAGAAAGTTGTTAGCTGCCATGTGGGTGCTGGGAACTGAACCTGGGTCTGCTGCAAGAGCAGCCAGTGCTCTTAACTGCCCCAATTTAGGGATTTTCTTTTTTTTTTTTTGTATTTTTGAGAGGGTGTCTCTGTAGCCCCAGCTGGCCTGGAAATTGCTATATAGACCAGGCTGGCCTTGATCTCACAGAGATCCACCTGCCTCTGCTGGGACTAAAGGTGTGCCACCACACCTGGCTTCCAACTTAGGAATTTTTATCTCTGGAATGTTTCATTTAATATTCTTGGCCCCCGGGGTAATGAAAATCATAGAGAAACCTCAGTGTAGGGGTGGGGAGAAAGAGTATTAAAATCAAATAAGGAACTTGATTTCCCCAACACTGTCCAAATGGCAAATACCCAAGTCTGAAATTAATATGCAATTTCTACAAAGGCACATCAGTGGGAAGAATATGACTAAGCAAAGAACTTCCAGTTTTTATTTAAAAAAAATTATTTAACAAGAAAAACATTCAACCAAATTTTTAAAAATTAGGATGGACTAATTTACAATAAAATAATGAACTTAAAACATCAGCCCTTTCATTCAAGGCCAAGTAGGCCAACAGTTCTTAATTAAACAGCAGGATTGCACAGTTGGTGTTTTGACCTATATTTGATGGCACAGAAATACAAAAGTCATACAACTTCCACTAACAGTCTCACTTCTCTCCAGGGTTCAAACACTTGCTTAGATCAGCACTCAGATTTTCAAATTCAGTTGTATTTTGAAAAACTTTGACAACTAATCTTATAAGAACACTTTTAAAATAATTCTTATATATATTAAAAAAAGCTTAAAATAATTTTAAGCACATTAGACTGCTTAAAGAAACAGCAAAGATTAAAACTAATGTCTAAGAATGTCTTTTTTTATAGAAACCTTCCAGATAAAAACATTTTCCTAATTAACTTGCTTCTCATAATCTCTAAGCAGACAGTTACAAGAGGCAGAATACATCATTTTTTGGTTCTTGGTTGTAGCTGCCAGCTTAAGAATTTATGGCTAAATACAAAGGAAAATAGGCCTAAGCTCACAAATTCTGGAATGGGGAAAAAACAAACATCTCTCTTTATAATTTTTTTTTTGTCTATCCTTACTTTCAAGTCATGACAGAAAGTTCACAGCAGTTTAAAGGATGATGGGAAGATTATATAGGTGGTTGGCTAAAACAAAGTTGAGATTAACTTTACATATCACACTCCTAACTAGTAAATATACACTGCATTTCCAAGTTTGCAATTTGTATTCTAAGTTACTAGAGCAGGCACAGCATTTGACAGATTTATACAGATTAAGTATGGTAGCTTTTAGACAGAATGCATTATTTTCCACACTTTCCAAAGTGTGAAAAAAGCTTAAAATAACCGCCATGAAGGGATATGTTAATTTATGACAGTTGGATAGGCACTTAAAATTGGGGAGAGCAACTTTGAGTGAGGTAAACTAGATTTTTATCAACCACATATTCTAAAAACTACTTCTATACTGTACTAACTAAACTTACTCAGCTTTTGAGCTTGTTACTATTGTTACAAAACCCACACCCATGTGTAACTTAAACTACTAAGAGCATTTGAAGCCTTAGTTTTGCCCCCATTTATATACTTCTGTGCTTAGAACATACTTGAGAACTATATACACACAAGGGACAAGGTTATAAGAGCCCAAGAAAAGTAACTTTCTCCCTAATTTGACAAGTTTGACTTTTTAAAGACATATCACCAGTCACATAGACACATTAAAAAGAATCACCCCAGCACTAGCACCACGGAGCATAACCCTTTACTCCAGCCACAGTGTGTGCTTATCGCTTCAGAATTAATTTCAAGGTAATGTGGACTTTAATGAATGAAAATTCATATTTGAAAATAAATGATCAGCTAGGTGTGGTGGAGCATGCCAGTAATCCCAGCACTTGGGAAACTGACACAGGAAGATTGTTGTGAGTCAGAGTTCAACCAGGGATGCATAGTAAGACCCTGTCACAAAACAAAACAAAACTACTCAAAAGAATCTCAGTAAGTAGGTAGGTATTAGAAGCTCAGAACAGAAAATGGCCATTTTGGAATTAGTTGGTTTTCTTTTAAATCAAAAGTTATCCAGCTTTACTTTCATTAGAATTACTTAGCTGAGTTATATCCTAAGCACCACCACAAAAAAAGAAAACCCACCAATGAATTACCAGGGCATTATGTGCAAATGGAAATACTAAGCCTCCAAACCCTAACAATTAATGACATTTTCCATTCTTTTCTCAAATTACAAAGGGGTGAAAAAAAAATCAAATAGCAAATGATACTTGATTTGAAAGAACTCATCAGCTCTTGTTATTTGGCATGCAGACTAATTTATCAACATGCTTTAAATATCTCAAAGAAAACTGTAACAAATTTATCTGATGTATTCTCATATGTATGCGTGTGTGTGTGGGGGATACAGGGGGCAGGTAGGAGGAGAGAACACAAAAGTGAGAGTGAGAGGAAGACAGAGAATATAACTCTGGCTTTAGTTTCCATGTAAAACTTATGAAGACTTCTAAGCTGACCTTCCACAGCACACCAAGCATTTCCAGTCCTGGTATGGGACCATACTACCTTTTTTCCTTGTAGCGCTAACACCAGGCATTGGGCAAACTACTAGCAGGAGTAATGTGCAATGAGCAACTGTGGACACATTTTTTTCCATGAGGCGGCTAACTTGTTCAAGTTTTGAAACCATGAACATGGTCCATTAGCACCATAGTTTATGCAAATGAAGTAATTATTCAAACTCTTGTAGTATGAGGGGCAGAGGGTAGGTCAGAAAGGGGCTGAGGACAACTACTTATGCCATGAAAAAAAACTACACAGCAGAAATATAACTTGTCTGCTAATAGACTATATTTGAGGTTTTATAGATCATTGACACAGCTATACAGTAATAATACCATACCAATTTGTATATTTGAATAACTGAAAGTGTAGAGTTTTCTGGTATAACCCAAACTTGATTATAAATGGAAGTTCATTGAGCATTAGGTTATCAGTAAGCTAGAAGAAATTACAAACATTTATAGATAATAACCTACAAAAAAAGGTATTAGATAAAAATTAAGTGAAATTACTCATAATTGTTTCCAGTTTCATCTTTCTCCTGGGAGAACCCAAAAACAGGCCTATGGAAAACTATTCATATGCATAAGATATGGCATCTGCTCTTAGGTAAATATCCTTCTGTCAAAGGTAGATGGTCATAGTCACTGTCATATTTAATAGTTTTTTTTTGTTGTTGTTGAGACAGGATCTCCCTGTGGCCCCAGCTGGCCTGGAATTTATTATGTAGACCAAGCTGGCCTTAATCTCACAGAGATCTGCCTACCTCTGCCTTACGAATGCTGGGATCAAAAGCAGGCGTGCACCACCATGTGTGACTTCATATAAAATGGTTTTTGAAACATCTACTCCACTTACTGTAAAGGAAGCCTACAAACCACTTCTAAGAAAAAGGCACTTTGTTATGAAAGTTGGATTAATTTCAGGCAAGATGAAGACTAGGATGGACTCAAAGTCAGTATTCATTTTTATATTTATGAATATAGAGCAGATGCCAGTTTACAGAATACAGCTAATTATATTACACACAAACCAACAACATTAACTATATTCTCGGCACAACAGTAATTTATGACATTCCTCCCAAAACTAACACAGGTCCAAGTTCAACATAAGGGGAAAAAAAATCACCAGCAGTTGCTACTTGAGAGCTTAAGAAACTGTTTTCAACAAATTTCATGTCTACAGTTTGGTTCTCTGCACCAGAGTATAAATTGCTTTTCAGATGAAAGACCTGGCTGGCAGGGGTGTGTTTGTTTCTAGGGGGGAGAACCCAGGTCAGAGAACTACTGGGGAGTAACAAGAGGTGCATTTCTCTGGCCAGACAACCAAGCGAGGAGGTAGTCATTCTGAGTTCTCAAGCAGTGAGGGCCGTGCTCATTATGGGAACTGGGCAAGGCGCAGGCGCTCCTCTGGATGAAGAGCAGAGGGGACACTTCTCCTCCAGGGAAGTCAGAACCAGGTGTCAGTGCAGCTGAAACAAAGATGAAGTGTATGAGAACCAAATGAAGGGAACTCAAGCAGGAAGCAGAACACACTCTCACCCCTGTCCTACCTTCGAAGTGGCTCTTTTTTGATGACAGAACTTTCAAAGTATCTGTAAGAAAAGAACACAAACCATGCCATTGCCATTTAGTTTCTGTTGTGACTCTTCTAACTTCTGGTCCATTTCACAAACATGGTATGTATGGATCTCAAATTCCTAATACCAAAACAGAAAACTATCTGTAGAAAAATTAAATGCTTTAAGAATAGGTTAGGTCTTAGCATTCGCTGAAAGGGTATTATAAGGAAAATTATTTCATGATACTGTTAAAAAAGATTAAAAAACTGTGTGTGTGTGTGCGTGCACGCGCCACACATACGTGGGTTGCTTGCCCTAGTTTGCTTCTCTATTGCTGTGATGAAAAAACTGACCAAAACCAACTTGCAGAAGAGTTTATTTGGCTTATACCTCACAGTTCATCATGGAGGGAAACCAAGGCAGATCTCAGGGTAGAAACCAAAGTGGAGGAGTGCTGCTTACTGGCTTGCTCCTCTAACCATACTCAGCGTGTCATCTTATATAATACAGGGCCATCTGCCCAGTGGTGGCACCACCCACAGTGGGCTGGACCCTCCCACATCACTCAACAATCAAGAAAATGCCACAGCTCAATCCAATGGAGAAAATTCCTCAATCGAGGATCCCCCCACCTAGGTGTGTCAAGTTGACAACTGAAGCTATGCAGAACAACGTCCATGGAGGCCAGAAGAAGGTATCAGATCCTTTGGAGCTAGGGTTACAGGTGGTTGTGAGCTACGTGATGTGGGTACTGGGAATCAAACTTGGGTCCATCCACTGGAGGAGCAGTAAGTGCACTTAACTACTGAGTCTCTCCAGTCTCCAGGAAAAATATTTTATACTTAAAATACAGAGAAACTCAGATACATTGTGCAAGAGAGAGCAGTTCTAATACTCTTCCAAACTGCCTGATGCTAAATAAGATTTATAATGTCAAGAGAACACATGCTCACCTCATTACATTACCACACAGGGTAACCCCATACAACCTTGAGTGCCGTCATCGCTGCTGTTGAGCTTTTTCATTCGGTACTGGCGTATCTCCCTCACCAGTGTGTAAAAGGCATCTTCCACACCCTATTAAAGAGAAAGAAGCAAAGAAAGAAAATAATGGGCACAATTCAAGTTGTAAGCTCTCACATATTTCTTTGTGTGGATTTACTAGTCCAAATACTAAATTAATAAGTTGATAAAATAGGGTGACTTAGGACACTAAGTTTAGCATTCCCTGGGAATCACATAAACAGGCTGATAAGCAGACAGATGGCATACTTTACAAAAAATACATTTCAGCAAAGAAAAAAAAAGGGGGTAATATGGGGGACACAGAATAGAATGACCAAATCTGAAGGTTCCTTGAGGAGGGTTAAGCCCTAAGAAATGGTGACTGCTGATGGAAAAAGGATTATACTATTTTTAATCTAGGCTCTTCACTAGAAAGATCGGTGGCTGTTAATGGAAGAATAAAATGCCATATTGGAACAGTTTAAGTTCATTTGGGGGAGCAAAAGATAAAAGCCTGGTCTACATATTGAGATCCAGGACAGCTGGGGCTACAGGGAGACCCTGTCTCAAAAAGACCAAAAAAAAAAAATTTTTTTTCTTTTTCAGAAATCCATTACAAAGAATACTGACCACATGTCTACAATATCTGATCAATCAAACCTCTCGGCCTTAAACAAACCCTCGCTCAAAGTTCTATCATACCTGTCTGGTCTTGGCGGAGGTTTCAATGAACGGAATCCCATAACTCTTGGCCAGTTCATGGGCTTGCTTTGTGTCAACTGTCCGTGTTGGCAAATCACATTTGTTTCCTACCAGCACCATAGGTACATCATCAGAGTCTTTCACTCGCTTAATCTGCTCCCTAAAACAGGAAAACTGTTACCAGGTCATATGAAAAACAAGCTTCCTTGGAGAAATAAACTGGTAGGGCAAGAGAAAGTAGCAAATGTTACATATTCTATTAGGTTCTATTGTGTTTACACTTTCTGAGCACTCAAGAACTACAGACCCTGAAAGCTAGGACACTGGTTTAGATATGATAGAGCAGCCAAAAGGAGGCAGTCTCTCTGTACCAGTTCATGTTCTAGAAACACGAGTCTTCTATCCTGACACACTTAGACCCCTGGATTCTCCAGAGAGCATGGCTCTGGGTGTAATTCAAAACTAGAAATGGTACTTTAAATTCTGAAGTATATAAAAAGTAAAACCTACTGCTTCTAAATAAGTTAAAAAAAAAATTTAAAACAAGTGTAGTAGTACATATTTTTAACCTCAGCACCTGGGAAGCAGAGGCCAGTCTGGGCCACAAAGCAAGTTCCGAGCGAGTCAAGGCCACATAGTGAATAATACAGAATAAATTCAAAAAATAAAAAGGGGGCTAGAGAGATGGTTCAGCAGTTAATAAAACTGGCTGCTCTTCCAGAGGACCCAGATTTGGTTCCCAGCACCCACATGGCAGCAAACAACAATCAGAACCTCCAGTTCTAGGGATTCCAATGTTCTCTTCTGGCCTCCAAGAGCACTGCATGCACAGATATACTTACACACATGTAGGCAAAATTCATACACATAAAAATAAATATTTTTTTTATCTTTTTGAGACAGGATCTCCCTGCAGCCCCAGCTGGCTTGGAACTCACTATGTAGACCAGGTTGGCTTCGAACTCACAGAGATCTGCCTGCCTCTGCCTCTTTAGTGTTGGAATTAAAGGCATGTGCCACCATGCCCGGCAAAGTGAATACATTTTAAATTATATTTTATTTTGTGCATATGAATGCCAGGACATTTGTGTGGAGGTCAGAGGGCAACCTTTGGCAGTCAGTTCTCTCCTTCCACCATATGGGTTCTTGGAATTGAACTCAGGTCATCAGGCTTAGCAGCAGGCACTTTACCCACTGAGCTATCTATCTCTTTAGGCCCTAAAACAACTTTCTGAAATCCCCTTTGCAACAAAAGTATTTAATGGAAGATAATTTATCAATTTTTCAAGATGGGTGGTACCCTAATATTTTCTTCAAACAAAATCATAGCTGGAAGCCTAAAATATGTAACATTAAGCAGAAACCTGAATTGCTTTAAAATTTTTTGATTAATTTTTATGTGTATGAATGTTTTACCTACATGTAAGTTCACCCAGGTCCTCTGGAAGAGCAACCAGTACTCTTGAACACTGAGCCATCTTTCCAGGCCCTAGAACTGCTCTTAATAAGGGTATGTGTGCTCACACATGCACATAGATTTGGAACCACCTAAGGCAGCTTTCTTTTCAGTGACATGTAAGATATACCACCTAGGACATTTCATGAGTTACTGCTCTAGATTCACTTGACTAAACTGCTCAAAATAACTTTCTGTAATGATAGAAACTGGTGTCCAACACTGCAGTCACTCATCACTATTGGGCACTATGTTAGTAGCGACTGTGGAAAATAAATCATAGTTTCAATTTTATTTTAATGTTCATCACATCAGGTTACAACTACCACATTGCACAGAATTGCCAGACTCTACCCTAGAATTTCTGTCATGTTCCTCTACTGCATTCTACTGGTGAGCTGCTGGAGAAATGTGCTTAGATGTGGTTTTGTTTTTTTTGAGGCAGGATCTTACTAGGCTGGCAGCGAACTCACTAGACAGACCTGGGTAGCCTCAAATTTAATCTTGCCTCAGTTTTGAAGCACCACTATGCCCAGTACTGATAGCCTCTTTGAAGGATACTGTAACCAATCTAATATCCTCACCAGTCTAACATCCCTGGAGCATGTCATCAGGGTACCTCCTCCACCATTCTTTGCATTACAGCTCTGTGAGGGTCAGACCCAATCTCCTGGAATCAATGTAATCCTCCTGAGCAACTGATTGGTTTTCAGCATAAACACACTGAGAATATGACAGGTGGCTACTTTTTACAACACCTATTGCATCTGTAGTGTGCTGCTGAAGGTCACGGGGATTTCATGCAGTTAGTTTCAACAGCAGTTACAGAATAAGCTCATTATTTTCTTTTTACTTTTTTTTTGGGGGGGGGTCTTTTTGAGACAGGTTCTTGTAGCCCCAGCTGGCCTAGAACTCACTATGTAGACCAGGCTGGCCTTGAATTAGCATAGATTCACCTGCTTCTGCCACTCAAGTGCTGGGATTAAAGGCGTGCGCCACCACGCCTGGCTATCTTTTTTCTTTTTTGAGACAGGGTCTCACTATGCAGACCAGGCTAGCCTTGAACTCCACCTGCATTTGTTTCTTGAGTATTGGGATTACAGACATATGTCATCATGCCTGGCCTCTTTACCTACTCTTAAGCCTATTTCTAAACTTCATTTTATTTTGCTATACTATATGCATTGATTTTTTTTTTTTCTCATTTATTTGGGGAAGGAGCACATACCACATTTTGACTATGTACACCATGTGAGTTCTGGGGATCAAACTCAGGTCAAGAGGCTTGGTGGCAAGTGTCCTTACCTGCTAAGCAACCTAGCTTGTCCAATATATGCATTTTTACAATATGCTTTAAATAACACCTTGGTCTAGGGTAAGGCATGGATAGAAAAATGAATAATGCCTTTAAGGAAAAATCAAAGTGACTTGTAAATGTTCAACAAATATTAGATGACTGCCAAGTGCTGAGCACTTTATTAAATACAGTCATCCCTGATCTGTGGGTAACTGGCTTAAGCCCTCTACCCCAAAAAAGAACACCAAAACCTGAGGATATTCATCTCATCTATAAAAAAGTATATTTGCATATACTTACATATATGTTCCTGTATAGTGCACACACTCATCTCCAGATTCTATTTAATATCTAATACAATGTAAGTACTATGTAAATAGTTACCTTGTATTGCTTGGATATTATCTAGGACCCGGGTTAGCTCAGTGGTAGAGTGCTGAATCCAAATGTTTAGTACAAGAAAGTTTTAGAAGAAAACATTGAACTCAGTTTTGGTCCAAAAGCAGCTTTGTTCTAGCAATACAAAATAAGTCAGGACTCTAGGTTGGAGGCACACATATAACTATAGGTCAAGCCCCATTCTGAATGTCTTACATATTTATTAATTTGTTTACTCTTGTCAATTCCATGAGGGATGTATTCTTAGCTCAAAATAAACGAGGAAACTGAGACACAGATGTAGTACTTTGTCCCAAAGTTACATAGCCAATGAGTGATGGAGCCAAGTTTCAACCTTGGCAGAGCTCCAAAATTGCAATCCCGAAAAATCCAACAAGCCAACTTCTGAACTTTTTATGACTCTGTAAAGCAAGAATATTAGTTGGACATAGGAACACAAGCCTTTAATCCTAGCACTCAGGTGACTGAGGTAGAAGGGTTGCAAGTTCAAGGCTAACCCGGGCTGTAAACCAACACTCTGACTTAAAAAGATAAAAATGGGGGCTGGAAAGATGGCTCAGCAGTTAAGAGCACTGGCTGCTCTTGCAGGAGCCAGGTTCAATTCCCAGCACCCACATGGTGGTAGCATCTATAACTCCAGTTCCAGGGGATCTGATGCCCTCTTGTGACCTCTGCTGGGCATAGCACGACATGGGTGCACTTACATACATGTAGGCAATGCACTCATATACATAAATAAAAATTTTAAAAAATTAAATCTTTCTGCTGGTATTTCCATAATTCAACTGGAAAAAGAAGGAAGGAAAGCAGCTGGGTGTGGTGGTACACACCTTTAATCCCAGCAGAGGCAGGTAGAACTCTGTGAGACTGAGGGTACCCTGCCTAAAAAAAAATCCAAATATAAATAAATAATCACCCTACTAGAATTTGTTTTTGGTCTTTTTGAGACAGGGTCTCCCTGTAGCCCCAGCTGTCCTGGAACTCATTATGTAGACCAGGCTGGCCTTGAACTCACCAAGATCTGCCTGCCTCTGCCTCTCAAGTGCTGGGATTAAAGGCATGCGCCACCATGCCCAGCTCCTACTAGAATTTTAATAGCTCATTTAGCTTTGAAACTTTAGTGTTCTATAGACAAAGCCCTGTTCTGTTCCTCTGCTTTGTTCTCTTTATAATTCTCTATTTGCTTCTTCCTACAATCTTTCCTATCATTTAGCAGCATGCTTTATTTACATATCAACTTTTATAGCAACAGCATACTATATAGAAAAATTCTAGCATGTACTTTCAATAATAACCTTAGATTCTCTTATTCTATTTTTTCTTGGTAGAAATGGAGTGTGTCTGAAATGAGGGCATCACATATAAGGCAAGTGCTCTATCACTGAGCTAAAGCTCTACACCTTAACCCCAGATCCTCAATGTCATAACCTAAAAGTATTTTTTCCCATAACAGAAAGCTATATAGGGGCCAGTCAGATGGCTCAGTGGGTAAAGGCACCTGCTACCAAGTCTGCCAACCTGAGATCCCTGGGACCTACACGGTGGAAGGAGAACTTTCCCTAGTTGTTCACTGACTTCCACACGTGCACTGTGGCTGGCACACATCCCCCTCCCCCAATAAATAAATGTACGAAAACAAATTTTTTAGAGCTCCATGTTCCCTAAATTTACATTCCTGAACAAAGCTTCGGAACACACTGAAGATTATCCTTTCAGAAGAAAGTAACATTCCCGGTACCTGTAGAGGTTAATATCTGCAAAGGATTTGCTATTATTGATAGCAAACACACAGAGGAAGCCTTCGCCTGTCCTCATGTATTGGTCTCTCATGGCACTGTACTCCTCTTGTCCAGCTGTGTCCAGTATGTCCAACAGACACGTCTCACCATCAATTACCACCTGTTTTCGGTAAGAATCCTGAAGTGTAAAGGGGGGCAGAGGCAGGGAAAGAGAGAGATTCAATTTTTATATAAAACCACAAGAATGAAAAGAAATAACCTGAAGGAGAAGAATAGTAGGTAACAGGCCTTAATAAGGGAGATATGAATAAAAATTGGGTTAGTTTAAGGGAAGGTG